TTGAGCCTCTGTGCATAAGATAGACTTCCGTAGGATAAGAAAAACCTTGAAGGATGCCTTTCATTAGTTATCCCTCGAAGGCTATCCTTATATGTTACTAGAATTTTAGTTGAATGCTAACGAGTAACCCTATGTAGCTGTCAAATTGGTTTTAAGTTCGAGCCCTGTGTGTCAGATAGATCTGCGTGACATATGAAAAACTCCAAATGAACGAGGACTCATAAGTCTTATTTCGAAAGTTATGACCATTTTCCTTGAATTTTAACCTATAGTGCCATAAATATTAGTAAACTGAATGAGACTATGTCTATTTAGGATTTCACGGACGGAACAGTCTATTTATTAGGAGATTGTCCCAAAAGTTTTACCTGAAAAGAATGCGTATTTTCCAGAGATATTAAAATTCAACATTACCACTCATATCTCACGAAAGATGATGAAGTGTTGTATTTTTTGTGAACTTTAATATCTCTGGAAAATACGCATTCTTTTCAGGTAAAAATGTTGGGGCAATCTTCTAATAAGTAGACTGTTCCGTTCGTGAAATCTTAAATAGAAATAGTCTCATTCAGTTTACTAATATTTATGGCAGTATAGGTTAAAATTCAAGGAAAATGGCTATAACTTTCGAAATAAGACTTATGAGTCCTCGTTCGTTTGGAGTTTTTCATACTTCACTCAGATCTATCTGACACACAGGGCTCGAACTCAAAACCAATTTGACAGCTACATAAGGTTAATCGTTAGTATTCAATTAAAATTCTAGTGACATATAAGGGTAGCCTTCGAGGAAAAAGCTAATGCAAGGCATCCTTCACGAGTTTTTCTTATCTTACGGAAGTTTATCTTATTCACAGAGGGTCAACTCGAAAGGGATTTATCATTCCTAAGGGCTTCCTCCTCAGAAAGAAAACGAAAACTATTATTTACATCAAATCTGTGAATAGGCCCTCCTCAAAAAATAAATCACCAACTAAAAGCAATAAACATACTTTCATATCAGAATTGCGAACTCATCCACAACACACAAATAATCAGTTATTTACGCCAATGAAGTAACATGACAATCAAGATCTCACTCGACTCTGAAGCACAAAAATAATCATTTATTGAACGAAATAAGCTTACTCATAAATCAGAAATTGCCATCGATTTACAACAGAAATAAGACAATATATTTAAAGAAGTAAACTTACACTTAAGTATCGACTGAAGAGTAATCCGCGCCAGACAAAAAAATCGAATATTAACCAAACAAACTTGACGCTGAATCAGAACTCTGAATGAATCTATAACAAAAATAAAAAATTTCATATAAAGAAATGAAACATACTTTCAAATAAGCAGCCGCAATCAACCTAAACAAACGAGAAACCCATTAATAAACATAATATTCAATCGTACCAAACTATACATACCATTAACCACACAATGCATGATCTAATTGATGTTCCTTCACATAACTATTCACGACCTAGCCAAAACTCGTCGTTAGAATTATGGATACCCTAACAACTTCTGGTTCTAAGAACTATGCATGACCTAACCATTGGTGGCCCTTATAAGTATCGATCATCTACTCAATGCTGGTGCTCAATATTATAGATGATAGTATACGAGTGAAAAATGGTGTGGGTATGCGTATTACTGCGAAAAGAACACTCAAATCCAAACCCATAGTTAGGCCCGTACGCACACATCACCCACACCCTTGCGTATTTATTTCTCTCACTCTTACAAATTCCCTAGACTGAGAGGATAGGGTCTAGAAACCGGAATTTGTCGATAACATGGCACAAGTGACCTTTTTTTTGGCACAAAAGACCATTTTTATGGTACAAATGACCATTATTTTGGCACAAGTGACCATTTTTTTGGCACAAACGACCATTTTTTTCGTACAAGTGACCATTTTTTTGACACAAACGGCCATTTTAGTGTACTCAAAAAGTGAGTACACTACTAGAATCGGTCAGTATGTCCGGCCGTCCGGCCGTTAACACGATAACTTTCGAAAGGAGAGTCCGATCACGATGAAATTTTCTACACAGTTCAGTCTTTACAATATCTCGGTCGAGTTCGAAGATGAGAAGGATCCGTCTAGAAATGGCTGAGTTATCAAAAAAATTGTGATTTTTGACCAGACCATCCCTGAGGGGGGGTACGGGGATTTTTCGAAAAAAACTTTTTTGCTCATAATTATTCACAAAATACATAAATCGACTCAGTTTTTAACGCTGATTCTGAATCTGATATTAGTTTTGAACCGAATCATAGTTTTGTGTACTGAAAAAGTGAGTACACTATATAGAATAGTCAGTGTGTTCGTCCGTCCGGTTGGCTGTTTACATGATAACTTTTGACAGAAGAGTCGGATTGCGATGAAACTTTCTACATAGCTTAGTCTTGACAATATCTCGGTCGAGTTCGTAGATGAGAAGAACCGGCCGAGCTATTCCTGAGTTATTGAAAAAATACCTATTTTTCTCTATAGCCTTCTGTGGAAAAAATGGACCCATCGTGACTTTCGTAAAAGACTTTTCCTATCATAGTCAATTAAAACCCCAACTATTATATACCATTCGATAGAGAATTTCAAGAGCTACAAAATGATATATAAAACAGAAAGAAGCAAGAAGATTGACTCATCTATCACAAGGATAATTAAAGAGAACTAGGTTATATTTTGGTCCACGATCTAATTGATCCATAAGCAGAGCTCTATCTTCTGATCACATTGATGATACTTCGAGGTTTTCAGAGATGGAGAACTCGAATGTGTACTGCACTTCCATCGAAATACTATTGGTTGTGCAGTGACCAATGGAAATCAAGTTATAGGAAAAACGCCTTTGTTAGGGTAAATCAAGGAAAAGAGTTCAAACTTGAGCTGTATTCGGTCCCATGTTCTATTGGTTTGGCAACGCGCAATAGAAATCAACATTTTAAATGGTAGGTTCCCCAGTATAATTTTGATGTTGAGATATTCTAGGATGACTGATTCGTATGATTCACTTTTTGAAGTACACATAACTCTCGGATTTAAATCCGAAGTTTCCGCATTTATTTTTACTAAAATTAACTAGGTAACTGTGGTACAAATGAGCATGTAGCTATGGCACAAACGGTCATTTTTTTGGTACAAACGACCACGTAACTATGGCACAGGTGACCATTTAGCAACCATGGTACAAACGACTATTCAGGTAACTATGGTACAAATGACTATCTAAAGACTGATGTAAATGAACTCATAATAATCATGGGTAAAATGTCAATGGAATAACTATAATTCGGGTAGTGGTGTAAAACGGCTTACAAAAGCATTTAATTAGTGAGAGTCAGACCAAATGAGCAGTATGGATTTAAAGAAATCGTTTAAATTATTCATTATTGTAGGATTGATTGTGCAATGTTGTATCAATGAATATCTAATTTATTAATAGTTTAGAATTAATGCGCGAATTGAAGCATAAAATATTGATTAATAAAACTCAAATTTTATGAATAATATAATTCATATTTTTGTACGTACAAATAGCGCCAATATAATTACAAAAAATCGTATTGTTGTCTAATCTTATTGGGCGCTATTTATATTTATAAAAGCAAAAAAAAATAAAACAAAAACGATAAAAAAAAATTAAATTTGTAAATGCATCATCTTTACTTAAAGTGAGAATTCTCCAAATTAAGTTTTCTGGTCGCCTAAGATATACTGGTCATATTATCAATTTTGCGTATTACTTTTTTAGGGTCCGGGTCATTTGGCCGACAATCACTTGGCCGACACATCACTTGACCGACACCATTTCGCCGACAAATTGTTTGGCTGACATGTACACTTCACCGACAACTCATTTGGCCGACAAATATTTGAAGTAAAATAAAATGAAATTTCTTGAAAATATTGCGTCAGAAAGTCTTTTTATCAAAAGTCACATTTATTTACAATGAAAGACTATGGGCAATGCCCCGAAGAAAATCGAACTTATCTCACGCGAAACAGTTTGTTAGCGGGAGACTTGTTTTAACTGATAAAAAATCGTCGTCTGATTTTATTTTGAAAAATGTTCACTATTTATAGGTGAATGAGTGGGAAAAATCCACGCAATATTTTCAAGAAATTTCAATTTTTTTGATCTCAAACATTTGTCGGCCAAATGAGTTGTCGGCGAAGTGTACATGTCGGCCAAACAATTTGTCGGCGAAGTGGTGTCGGTTAAGTGATGAGTCGGCCAAGTGATTGTCGGCCAAGTGAACGCGACCCCTTTTTTAATGTAGCTTTTTATGTTATTACATCCGTACATGTATTCTATCAGTCTAGGGCTAAGTGAATCGCTTGACGATGAACGTTACTTGTTTGTTCTTGCATCATATGTGGAAGAATTGCATAAATCAATGCTATTTTCTTCCGAAATCTCATTGAAGTCATCTTAAAAAGTAGGAAATTGTTATTTGATATTTTTACATCTCGATATTTCTATTTTCGTCATTCTTATACTTCAATATACTTATTTTGACTTTTTGATTTTCGGCATTATTCAGGAGAACCTATGATTTTTACGGGCATCCGCAAATCTTTTGGAAATTTTTCGTTCTACCACACATACATAACTTATGGAAAGTATGAATCAAAGAGATTACACTGTGATTCATAGAGCACAAAGGTAAAGACCTAAAGAAGTTTAGATAGATATCTGTTCTATGTTCATAAATGAAGATTGTGCAGCTATCAGTGAAAATCGTTCAAGTAGAACGGAGTTCAATGTAAATCTATTTGTGAGCGAGATTTTCAATGAAGCACGATATCCGTTCTTGAGAATACTATTGTACTACGCAAACTAATCATTTTGAATTAAGAAACAAAAGATTCTCTCGAGATTAGTCTGCCATAATAAAGTAGCTGTCACGAGAAACTTTCTTTTTAGATAAGAATAATATTTCATAAAATGAATGTATAAAAGAAAAAGAAAACATTTTCACAAGCGAATAGAAGTTTATTCTGTTTGTTGAGCTAACCACGCTTCAATAACATTTTTGAATGCGTAATTTTGGGTAACACCAGTTACTGCAGTTCGACAGATAGGACAGACATTACTTGTTCTTAAATAATCATTGATAGCTTGTATTTCAAACATGTGTCCACAAGGTGCTGTTGTTGCAGGATTATCCATAATATCGAGTGTAATTGGACAAGTGAACAAATCTTTATTGAGAACGGGTCGCGATGATTTGTCAGCAGATTTATCAGTAGCAGTAGTTGTTTGTGTTGGTAATGATTCTAGATCAGTTATACCTAAAATTTCATCATTGACTGTTGTTTGTTGTGCTTTTTTGAGCAATGCAGAGACACTCTGAAATTGCGGTGGATTCATCACTGATCGTAGTTGTCCTGCTAATTTCTTGTGCTGTTGTTCCAAATACTCTCGAATGCCAGGTTTATCGAAATGAATGAATAATGCAGTTTGCATAGCGGTTGTTTCTGTTGTGGCCTTTTGTCCACATTCAATAGCGTAATCAAGCTCAGTGATACCGGCTGATGTTTGTTGACTAGCAATTCGTGCATAGTCACCAAATCCACGTAATGCTCCAGCAACAAATCGATCATTACAATGTGATACTAAGTAATCAATGATGATTGATCTAGTGATGTTGACTGTTACTTTTTCTGTTGGTAATATGGCACCTTGGCATGCAAGTTTGACAGTAGTTGTTGTCTGAGTTATTAAATCTGTCGATCCCCAAAGTACGCATGGAATCGTTTTGAGTCGATCACGAATTGTATAGACATGTGCATTGATTTGATCTGATGAATAAGAATCATTACCAAGTTCTCTCAATTGATCACGTAGAATATTAATATCTTTTCGAGTACAAGTGTTATAAAGTTCAATGGCACCATCAGGAAAGTTAGGATAGTCTTGCAGAGACAAATATCGTGGTCGAACCACAGAACCACACTTTTGAAGATTTATTCTATACCATCCTTCAACTTCATGTGGATCTGTAATCAATGTTGATCGTTCAATGATTTGACCAGTATGAGCATTCACTAGATCGAAATCTTTATTCATAAAGACACACCAAGCCATTGGTTCATCTGTATCAATGAATGGCAAAACATTTTCATAAATTTGTTTCTCATAAGTAATCAAGTGATTAGTCAATCGAAGTAAGAAACCTTTTAACACATGAATAGTAAGAATTTGATGAATTGATTGTAAAGTTTCAGATGTAAGACCTATTTTCAGTGCAACTTTACGTATAATTTTCATCCAAAATACTGATCGATTTTCATCTTCATCGATATCAGTTAGATATTTATTAGGTACAAGTAAACTTGGTAATGCTTGCATGATAAAATCAGGAAATGTTCGATCCGATGCATCCATGATCCAAGCTAAACGAATAGCTGCTAATGGTTGTAATGTCCAGATGCTATCTCTTTGAATTTGTTGTGAATATTGATATTGTTGAAGACAAAGTGGTAATTGACGTAGAATTGATAGAAGATCAACCGTAGCATCTGGTTTTCGCCAAATGAGAATCTGTAAATCTTCTGGAATTGATGCTGTTCGATCATCAATTTTACATGTCGATAAAATACCCTAGAGAAAGTACTGAGTTCAGGGTACCCATGTACTGAGAAAGCTCTAGCAGGGTACCCAATATGGGTACTTTGAAAATTCTCAGTAATTTTACTGATGTATGTACTGTTTGGGGTACCCGTAAAAGTACATTCACTGAATAAGTACCTGCATGGATACACAAGTCTGTAACTTTACTGAGGAAATCTCGACAGGGTATCCTAAATTTTTCGCGTTCTGTGTGGCGACTATTCATTCACCGTTTTCTTTTTTACGAACGGCTCTATATAAACAACTCGATAAATCATAAGAAAATAATCAATTTTCATACTAGTTTTTTCTAAATTATTTCTTGACTATTTCTTAGTCGAGGAAATGCCGAGCTTGGTCGTAAATTAAGATCGGACTACCCTGAAGTGGTCTACGACCAACTCAAGTTGAGGCGTATCCCGACATTGTTCCTGCTAAGTTTTTGGAATTGAAGAAATTAAATTGAATAAAGTAAAAAAAAATCTAGTAAATTATCTCAAGAAAAAGAAAAGATTTTAAAAAGTCAAAGATCAGGTTCGATCCTGAACATACTGAAAATTTTGTAACAGGGTACTTAGAAATACTATACAATGGTACCCAATTCAGTACTTGATCAGTACCTTTAGGTACCCAATTACTGTGCATTTTCCAGCAGGGTACTTGCCAAAGTACCACTTAGGTACCTATAAGTACCTGCAAGTACTTTGGTACCCAAAAGTTCCTGTGACATACTGGTATCAGGGTACTTTTTTGGGTACCCTTAACTCAGTATATTCTCTAGGGTATCGAGTATTAATGATACATGGTCAGGATCTTCTGGTGAGTATAAAGTTTTTAATTGTTGTAAAGCTTCAGATAGTAGTTCACTTGTACAAGTCAAATTAGCGACATGTACATTTAAATAACCGATTGGTTGTCCATATTTTCGTTCATTTTCTTCAATAATCAATGCTCGTTCACTGAAACTCATTGCATCATCCCAAAATTTTGTAAATTCTGCTTGTGCTTTGTGATCATTAGTTAAACTTTTGATTAATTTTTGTTGTTCAAGTGCAAAATTCTTCAATATTTTAGTTAAATAGCCATACAATTGTTGACAAGCATTACTTGTTTCTAAATGAGCTTGTGATGTCTTAATCAATGGTGTTACTAATGACATAAGATTTCGAAATTCATCACCTCGAATGCATCGTTCAAAATTGAGTTTAGCTGTTTCTTCGAGATATCGAAAAAGACCAAGAAGTCTTTTGATAAAAACTTGCAATTGAATTTCACCTTGAGCAAGACAACTATTGAATACTTGCATCATTTGAGTTGGTGCAAGTAGATTGGATGGAATAGCATAACTACCAATAGTAACATAGCCAGGTAGACGAGCAAAAAAAATGATGCTCGTGTAGAAAACCTTCGATAATAGTATCAAGTTGTGGATATTTCTCGGAAGCAATACCAATATAAGGCACATTAGGATGAACACTTGATGCTATTGCTTTTGCGTGTTTCTCTTCAACACCTAATGGAGACCATGGTGGTGCAACAAAAAAAACAGTATGGCATTGTTCTTGAAAAGTCAATTGAGAAATACTACCAGTAAAGGCACCATCAGAAACGATAATTGCATCATAAGGAGTAGAGAATTGTCTTGTTCGTCGAAATGATGGACAAAAATTTGTACCACCACCATTGGGTACACATTTTCCTTTTGAGAATTCATCCAATGTAAGTAATCGACCACCAATAGCATCATGTATTCTCTCTTGGTTATCATCTCCAAATAAGGATACATGTACTTGAATACCTTGACTTTGTAACTTTGTGCACAGACCGATGATTGTTTGAACTAGTGGATTAAAGCCTGCTACATTCATCGATCCACTCATGTCGAAATGAATAATTAATGATCGTTTTTCCATTTGAACATCGAATTTTTTTAAATCATCCAATGTTAAAATCGCCATTACGGGACAATATAAAATTAATTGTTTGACTATCGCCACTATTCTATCGAATGGAATCGTTACCTTTTGAGATAAAAGATGAAGCAATCGATGATAGACTTGCTCGACATATGTTGATCGTTGATCCACCGGTCGATTAGCACAGAGTTCATTGAAATGAGTGAGAATTTCTAGAAATTGTTCTTGACTACATTTACTAACATCCAGCTCGGATAGAAAAAGTACAGGTACGAATGAATTTCCATCCGCCGCTTTTCGCGCTTCTGCAGCTAGAATTTGCTTTGCTCGACGTGACATTTTGTGTTGCTTCTAATTATGACTTGCGTTCTGCTGCTTATAAGCAATGGATAACATAAACAGCTAACGACACATTTTGCAATAAGCAGTGAGTTGAATTGCACAATGTCAGCATTAGTTGACAAATGGGGAAAAAAGATAGACGATTTTTCTCTTGCGTTCTCCGCTGTTTCTGCTGGCTTATTTCTTGACACATCTGTATAATAAGCGTCTGGGAAAACCCATGTCATCAAAATAGCGTCACTTTTGGCGATTAATCGACGATACTGCAACAAACTTCAACAGTAAGTATTTTTATATAAAAATAAATCATAGTTGTTTGTTTGGGATCTATCTCAATAATAAAATGAACATTAAGTATTATTTTATTGAAAAATGCTTTCGGTATTATTTACTGTGGGTGAGAAGAACGAAATCATGTCTCTTCATTCATGAGAAGCATGTGTGAGCTCAGTGGTAAACGACGATGCTATTCACATCGAGACGTAGCGATAGTCGTAGATCCAAATGCTTCGATGAGGTTCGATCATCGTAAATATTATCTGAGTAATCGCGATTTTGCTGACATGGGAAGTTTGAAATCAGAAATTTTATTCATTATGTAATTTTCTGTATTCATTCGTAGATCTTGTAAGCTTGGGATTTGTTACTGATATATAGCTGCATATATTCTACCTCACAAGCCATTCTAAATGATCATAATACAGAGTAAAAATGAGAAACTGTTTTTTGGAAGCATGCAACTTTCAAGAAGAAAAAAATAGTTTTGATGCTGGTTATGGGTGTGGGGTGTGAGTGTCGGTGTCGTTTGGTGTGGGTATGTCTTATCATCACACTCACGCACACACAAACCAGCACCCACATCCACACTCCACCTCACACTCACACCCCACACCCTTTTATCACGATTAAATCCATCGCTTGATTCTCAGATTTTTAAAGATTTAATCAATTCTTCAATAGTTCCAACAAATGAACAAATAATAGATATTTCACAACGTATTGTTCTACATTGGATATGTTTACAATCATCAAATACTTCTCATAATCATAAAACAGAATTTAAATCAAATTTAGATACTCAATGGTTTTCTCAAACTTTTAAAGATGTATATATGAACTATAATACTATTAATGAATGGATTATTGATAAGGGATCAACAACAGCAATAAATAATGAAAATATTATGTATGATTTACTTGATTTGAGTGAATTCGATCAAAAACAAAAACTAAGAAAAAGATCTCAACGAACAATTAAGTCTTTAGATAAAAATATTTCATCAAAACAACTTTTACAATCTCGTTTAAACTGTGAACATAGATTAACAACAATTTATGCAAGTTTATTATTATTAATATAATTAAATTTTGGTTATGTGATCAAACAACTTCATTTCCATTAGAAAAATTTGGTGATTATACATTTATTGTTAAATTATTAAAATTATTAGATTATATTGAAATAGATAAAGATGAAAAAAATAATCATATAGATTTATTAAATAAGTTAATTCTTAAACATGAAATTAAAAAATTAATTGAGTATAATACTACAATTGATAATGATATATTACAAAGTAAAGCACCATTATCTTATCATTTACAAAATATATATTTATTCAATCGATTGAATTACTATTTAAACTATCTTTGTTCGATCAAAATTTAAATAGAAAAACAATTATCAATCCAGAACAACAACCAGATCTTGATTTTATTTTAAAAATTCTTAATTTTTTCATTAAATTAACTACAGATCAATGATTAACAAAACAAAATCAAATTGATTTTACTCTATCATTATTATTTCCTACACAATTAATTCGTCTAATGTTTTATTTATTTTTGTTAGCTCCAACGCATCAATCCAAAATAGTTATTATTCATCAATTTACTGTGTAAGTGAATGTTCTCATAAAACTAGATTACATCTACCGACAACTATCAGCAAAGTACCGCATTCGAACCTCATCATGATTAGTCATAAAAAGCTACATGCTTTGAGTAGCTCTTCGGATAGTAAAATACGGATTCACATTATTGTGAACCTAGCTGTGACAGTTCCCATAGGAGCTAAGCACTGTTCAGTGAGCATCTTTTTATTATATCGCAAGTATCCTAAAAAATCAGATGTTTCTTTTTCGAATAAAATCCTGAAATCAATAATAATTGTTCGAATTTATGAAACTATCTCTGAATTTTTCTTCATATTACAGAATGTGAAACGATTTTTTGTACTCTATAATTTCTTTCTATTTGGTAGTTTACTTCATACAAGTGAACATTTTAACTTAAATGATAAAATTCAGCAATTTTGTATTCAATTAATAATTGAATTATCATCAATAGCAATGTCGCGCAGCAATTGTTCAACTAAGAGTCTTCGAATAGCTTTAGCAGATTTGATATTTATTTTATTAAAAAAAAAACAAAAAACTCAACATATTGAAGATGATAATCAAATTCAAGACATTGAATCAAAACTTCCTGAACAAATTCAAGATTTATTTACCACAATTAATGTTATTATTGCTTGGACTGATCAAACAAAACAAACATTATTACCTGAAGAATTTCTTTAATAATGCTTTGATATTTTAGATAATAATACCCAATTAAATCAAGATGATTTTAAAAAATCTAATAATGACTTTAATACAATCGCTGATCAAGATCTAATCAATTTAATGAATAATAATGAATCACTTAACGATTCATTTTCGAAATATTCATTGAAAATCTTTCAATGGAATATCAATCAAATTCACCATTCTATAAAACTTCTATATCTTTATCAATTATCCCCACTGATTCTATTCAAATTCGTGCTCAATTTTTTATATTTATTAAACTAATGTATTGAGAAAAGTCTTTCATTAGTCGATTTAAGTTTACAAACAGGACAAAGTTTTCTAACTAATCAATTTCGAAAAATAAAACCTTATTTATTGTTTTCAACAAAAGTTCAATTATTTCAAGAAACTTTAGAAAAAAACTCAATTGAGATATGATAGTGATTGGAATATGATTCATTTTGATATACTTAAAGCTAGTACAAATATAAACAATAATGAAAATACAATGTTCTATCAAGCTTATCAACAATTACATACAAAGGATCATGTAATATTTCGACGACCAAATGAACAACTTTGGCATGCACAATATATTGACATGCATAGTACTGATCATGATGGAGCTTATCGTGATTTTATAACTCATATTTGTTTTGATACATGTTCATCACGATTATCATTATTTATTTTATGTCCTAATGGATGTACAAATACTGATTTAAATCGTGATTGTTGGATTCCAAATGTATTGCCACCAAATAAATCTATACCAAACAAATATAAAAAACAATATCGTTTTATTGGACAATTATTTGGTATGGCTATAGGAAAAAGACATTATTTAAATATTAAATTTTCTAGATTATTATGGAAAAAAATATTAAATGAATCAATTACTATTGAAGATATTCAAGATATTGATTTACAAAGTTTTACAATTATAAATGAAACAGAAAAAAATTTTGAACAAACTAAGTTAACTAATAATGATAATAATATAAATTCATTATTTGGTAGTATTATGAGTGAATTAAGATTTGATGTTGTTAGTTCATCTGGTGAAACCTATGAACTTATTCCTAATGGTTCAAATATATCTATAACAATTGAAAATTTTAAATATTATTGTTCTTGTTATCGACAATATCGTCTTAATGAATTTAATCGACAAATTAATTATATATAACAAGGTTTATATAGTATTATTCCATATCATTATTTAAATTTATTTACTCCTAAAGAACTTGAAGAAGCTGTTTGTGGAAAAGATCAAATTGATATAGAAATTTTAAAACGAAATACTTTATATGGTGGTGATTATAATGACAATGCACTACCGATTGAACGATTTTGGACTGTTCTTAATGAAATGTTTAATAATGAACAAAAGAAATTACTTTTAATATTTGTTTGACGTAGAAGTACATTAACTATTTGAGATGAAGATTTTCAATCAAAATTTATTATTACTTCATACGATGTTTATCAAGGTGAAGTTGATCAAACACTTCCGCGTAAGTATATTCATTGAAGATCATTAAAAAAAGGTAACCTGATAAGGAAATATTTTGACCATGCTGAATGTATTTACATCATTAATAGATTCAGCATGGTTAAATAATGCCTCAAGATAAATTTAACATCAAAAAAGAAAAATTCTCTTTAAGCTTTCACTTTGTTAGTCAATGACAATGATGTGTTCTATTGTATGATGAAAATCGTACGTCTCTATTTTTCTTTTTTATTTGTTTACTTTATTTTAGGATCACATACATGTTTTTTTTACGCTTGATTTACCTGCTTATTCAACGATTGATATTATGTATGAACGCTTAAATTATGCTATTACTAGTTGTTCAAGTATAGATGGTGATGATACTAGTGATGATGAACTATATTTTATATTTTACTAGTGACTCTGTGATTCAAATAGTGCCTTTTTTTCTAAATCGAAATTTCAATTAAATGAAAAAATAATGTCTAATATGATTAGAAAAATCTTTCGTTTACATATCTGAATGACAAAATATGCAACAAAAAATTTGATTCGACAAATTTTTCGAAATATCGTTTCATTAACATCTCGGATACTACTAATGACAAAGAATGATAATCCTTTATCTAGACTGATTCATGAATTATTTGTTGAGAGTTTCATTTAAAGCTGAGACAAGAAATAATCTTAAATTATCTGAAAGAATATTTTGTGTTTCTTTTTTAAGTACAAATCTTTGCGTTGTTGCTCATACTTAAGTGTTTCGTGCAATTTCATCTTTTCAATTTACCTCGAACTACAAGATAATCCAATATTGAATCGAGTGGTGCAGGACACTCTTGCGATCTTCGCTTTTAGACCTTTACTAATCATTGAATGACCAACCACATGCGTTATTTTCAGAAACGACAAATGAGACGCCATCACTTCCGCGAAAATCATGTCACATTCATGATGCATACTATTTCAGTCGATTTCTTTCATTATTTATAAGTATAGAAAAATGAACATGAGTAATTTTTTCAGATTAATTTTCATTGTTAAACAGATATGACACCAATTCAATAATAACTGAGCAACAATGAATTATCTATACAGAAAATAAGGAAAACAGAAAGCATGTCGTGGGCATGGATGTGGTTGTGCATGTTAGTAGTATCCAACCAGACCCATCACACCCACACTCACACCCTCGTTTAAGATTATCTTATATCTTGATTATAATAAATTGACAACACTGATCCTTTAAAAATTTTACTAGCCTAGTAGCCCGCTCCCTTTGATAAAAACAAAATCTTATTCCCAGATGTGGTTGGATATCCATGAATTTACAGTAAGGCTTAACAGAAGTAAAAGAAAATATTTTTCTTACTCTTCTCTAAGAGATGAAATTGGATATAATGGTTAATATTTCATTATCTGCTGTAAAAACATGCTTTGCAAAGCAAATAAATGAATGAAAGGAAAAAAAAGTAAACAGTATACAAAGATAAGAGTATATGGCAATGGAGTTATTCTGTTAGGTCATATTGCATTTATAGATTATAACTGAGTGAATCGACAAAAAAATTGGGTGTGGGTGTGGGTATCAGTACATTACAAAGAAATACCTACACCCATACCCTCTTCTCTTCATTCTCATCATTATTCAGTCACCCACCCACCCTCGTTCACCCTCACCCACCGACTTCTCCACCTTTTCCATACCGGGACCAACTCGACACTAAATGAATTATATGCCAGTTTGTAGCTCTTTCTTCGCTCTATCGAATGGTATATAAACCAAAGTGGCCCACACCTAAAAAACATTGGAACGAATCAAATTACTATTAGAGATATGCAACAAAATCATCTTCAATACGACCCTCAAGAGAATCTTCAATAAAAAAAGTAGTATTATTTATGTCCTCAATAGTTTATTAAAAATACAGTAGTCTTTATATGAAACGATGCAGAATTAAATGCTCTTCTTAATGACAATAAATCAAGCCTACTTAAGTTCTAAAAAGTTTTCTATTTTGATCAAATACTGAGCTAATACGAATATACCTGAGAACGCACCAAACACCTTATAAGACTGCTATACATTTTTACAGTATTTACGTCTCAAAACGACCTTTGATGTCCAAATTTTGCTTGAATTTGGCATCACAAACTCGCATCACTTTTCTACGCAGAGTTACTAATAAGCTGTCAATAAATGGCTAGGGACCCGTTTTCCATTGCTTATACGCCCCAGTCCTTTGAGTCCGAATTTGAAGTCATTTTTGAACGGACTTTGACTCAGATTCGGACAGCGCTGCACTTACTCTTCTTGATGATATCTTTTAGAGTGTGCTTGATGAAATTCAGAAAGAGATAAGCAAAAGACAATAGATAAGCATACAGGTAGGTGCGACGATCATATCTAGCATTATTTTTATTATAATTGCAAAATTGTGGTGAGATTTGAATTGCTTCTTTAATCTATCCAACGACCAGTAGCATGGTAACAAGACGTGAAAGCACTATTTTAGTGACAGTCAATGGCTCGGATGAAGACCAAAGGCTACCGCAATTATCATATGATCCTGATCAGCAACAACAGCATCAAAATGGGCGCATTGTACCGAGTACAGCAAAGGAAGTAGAACAAGGTGCAATCACATCAGCGAATGAGAACGAGAAGACAGCCAAGTCTACCACGAATGAATATATAGCGGAATCATCCTTAACAGACCCTCTCCGGTGTGCAGCTATGCCGGCCCGTTATGTTGTCGCTATCTGGGCTTTCTTTGGTTTTCTTTGTTTATATGCACTACGTGTCAATATTTCGGTGGCAATTGTCGCTATGGTTAGTCATCTAGTCGATATGCGTGCTATGAGGCATTCATCAAAGATAGTTTACTTTCTCATATACGAATTAGGTACCTCCACAAAGTGCACTCAATCAATCAGTTCGATCATGTCCAGTATCGAACACAAGTTCTCCAGAACCACCTTCAGTTTGTCTTTTCTACTGTTGATTTAAATTGAAAATACATCTTTGTTCTTGTTTTATAGCACTACGAATTCGATTGGAAACCATCTACTCAAGGGTTTGTTCTTGGAGCTTTCTTCTACGGCTATATTCTTACTCAAGTGTAAGCGTGCATTTATTGATATCTTGTTTTCTATGATTTTTGTTCTATAGAATTGGAGGTGATACAATAAAACATAAATCATCCAGTTATCGTATTCATAATTGTTTTCTTATTTTTATTATCAGGCAATTTAGCCGAAAAATTTGGTGGCAAATGGATCTTTAGTGGATGCATATTGATAGCTAGCATTTTAACATTATTAACGCCGCTGGCAGCTCGAGCTCATCTTGGATTACTCATTGCAATTCGGGTCTTAATTGGTTTATTCTCGGGTCCCGCATTTCCGTCCGCAGCGGCTCTTTGGGGAAAATGGGTGATTATTCATACTATATCTGAATCCTAAATATCTCTTCGTTTTAATGTGTTTTAACAGATTCCACCTTCGGAACGAAGTACTATTCCACCTGTCTCTCAATCGGGAACTAATTTCGGTATCATATTTACCACACCACTTGTTAGTTTTATGAATAATTCATCATTTCTTGGCGGATGGCCATCGGCTTTTTATGTGTTTGGTAATAAGACAGTTTAAAAGCTAACAGCATATGGTTCGCGTCTATTTATATCTAGGAGCAATCGGATGCTTGTGGTTTGTCGGATGGTGTTGTTTTGGTTTCAATTCGCCCGATGATCACCCGCGAATCACAAACGAAGAGCGTTTCTATTTAGCCACGCATACAGTAAACATTTCTCATAAGGTATTGGGAACGAAATTTTAGTTGTTTGTTCAATGTCTGTTTTGGTGTACCCATTTGCGTAGCATCTAAAAACACCATGGAAAAGTATCGCTCGCTGTCCACCTGTCTATGGCATCGCTATAATGCAAATTTGTACTAATTATGTCTACTATACATTGTTCACTTCGTTACCTATTTATTTTGCGACTGTACTCAATTTTGAACTTCAAGAGGTAAACAGATCTTAGAGGTCCTATGCATTTCAACATATAATAAACGGAATCTTTTCTTGAACGAAAATAGTTATTTAGGAAACTATCTTCATCCATTTTATATCCAGCTTTTTGAAGTCAAAAATCTTCTCGACACTTATCGTTCGATTATATGCAGGATGTCCTATAATTTTTGGACACCCTGTCAAGTTTTGAATATAAAAAAGATTTCTTTAATGAAAGAAGGGTTCATTTCTAATCTAAAATCATATCTATGGGCACCTAGTAGCAGTATAGTGTCTATGATATTGATCTGAATTTGACCAATTAACATTCATGAATGAATCTAGAAACTTTCAAATCTCAGTTGTCCCATTATTATAGAATACCTGCGTCCTAAATATAAGAATTTTGAATTAAGATTAGTTTTACCAACTCAAATGATTGTTTTTAGCATCCATTTGAAAGAGAACATTCTCAGCTACATGAGAAGAAGAAAAAAGGTTTGCAAAAAATAATTTATCTTTCCTATTACCTAAGACACTAAATGGTAGAACATATAAGTATTTACATCATGATGATGTAGTTCCACAGAAATAAGTTTTGACCTTTTTAATATAATGAAAACGGATTTAAACGATCTTTAAATTGTATCAGTAGATAGAGCATCTAAAGCTACATAGATTACATAGACTTTGGAAAATGACTTTAAGACTCTTAATAATTCTGAAAAGATATACTGAAGATATTTGAAACAACCTTTTGTACAGAGACCATCACAAAAACTACTTATCTCTCAATTTTTCTCAATTTTCCAGCAGAATGAGGTATCTTTTTGTTCACTTCGTCAGAGACTATGTTTAATTTTTTTTAATTAGCATGTGACGAAAGAAGAATAGCCTATCTTGTGCAGAATTTGACGCCCTTTCTATTGATATACTTGGCAAGAAATGTAGGGGTATTTTTGTTATGAAATCACAGGCTTCTTTCATAAGAACAGTGGTTTTTGTGATGGTCTCGGCACAAAAGGATGTTTCAAATATCTTCAATATATCTTTTCAGAATTACTAAAAGTCCAAAAGTCAGGAAAGCGAAATTATTTTTTGCAAACCTTTTTTTTACTTCTCATATAGCTGAAAATGTTCTCTTTCAAATAGATGCTAAAAAGAATCATTTGCGTTGGTAAAACTAATATTAATTCAAAATTCTTATATTTAGGACGCAGGTATTCTTTAATTATTGGACAGCTGAGATTTGAAAGTTTCTAGATTCATTCATGAATGTTAATTGATCAAATTCAGATCAATATCACAGATATTGGAATAAAAAGTATGATACTATATGAGTCAAAGATTAGATCTTCAAGGTTGAGGAAGAGATTCTGTTAATTATAATTTGAAATAAATACAATACTTTTCTTGTTGAAACAAATTAACAAAACATTATGATCAATATAGAATGGGTTTCTTGTTGCTTTACCACATTTCGGACAATTTTTGTTTACCGTCATAACGGGTCAAATCATTGATCGTATTCGAGCTCGCAATATTGTCACAATTACAACACTACGAAAAGTTCAGACTATTATTGGTAAGAGTTAGATACTAAATAGTTTAGAAATAGCATGTTCATCATTGTTCATCATCTAACTTAGGTGGTTTCGGTTCTTGCTCATTTTTGGTGGCCGCCGGTTATGTTGGTTGTAATAATACGCTTGCTGTCCTATGCTGTACTTTGTCTGTGTCTTTTATCGGTTTACACACGTGTGGTGCGCTTATTTCACATCTCGATGTTGCATCGAACTATGCTGGTAAGAAATATTGAGGCTGAAACGTATTTAACAAAGTTGTATGTGTAGGAACTCTTGTTGGTATCACAAATTCTTTGGCAACGATACCCGGTTTTGTTGGACCTTATGTAGTCGGAGCCATCACAAACAATAATGTGAGTTCTCCCTGTCTTTCCCTCTCTCTCTCTCATTATACATCTTGTTGCTGATGTTCATAAACATAGCAAACACTTGAAGCTTGGCGTACCATATTCAACATATCGGCAGGCATCGGTGCCTTTGGCTGTATTGCCTATTGTATTTTGTTCAACGGTGAGGAACAATCCTGGAATCGAGTTCACCATCACCACGATCATCATGCGTCGAACCAATAATAGACGACAAATAAAAGTGAATACTGCTATAAAACTATATTCGTCCAATCGTTGATTCAGATCAGAAGTCATCATCTAATGCTTGTTTGTCATAATTGTTACAGTCATCATCTGCTTTGTTTCACTAACAAGTTTGTATATCGCTTTGACTACGGCTAGATAATTAAAAGTAAGATTGTGCGTTCTATCTGACTATTGCATTTTCTTATCAATCGCTGAATGGGTGGGTATGTGTGTGAGTGTTGATCTCTTCTCTTTCCACAGCCCACTTCCACCCATACCACACCCATTCCCTACAAATGAGAATAATATTATACACTAGTACTGTTTTTCAAGATTAGTAGGATTTGATTATTGGTCGAATTTATTTTGCTCTAAAATAAACCGAAATAAGTATTTAGTGGAAGTGAGAAACATTGATTTGCTTAGTTTTTATTTAGATTTTAAAAAAATTCTGTATATAATTCTCTTGTTTATCTTAACCAAAAAACATTCAAGAAACAGTGGTGGATTTAGAGAAAGGGGTAATGGGAACAATTTCCCCATTTCGAAAAATTTTTTTAATTTCTCCCAGCAAAAAAGGCCCAAAAATGAGTCGATAAAGTATGTTTTGTCCTAAATCGCCTCCTCTCCGACTTCCCCTTCATAAAAATCTTAAATCTGCCACTATCAAGAAAAACGAATATTTAGTTGTCTCGCGATTACCACCATAAGCGGATGCATCCAGCATTGTCCATCATACAGGCAACAATTAGTTTCTCTGATTGAAGTAGAACCATGTTATCTTGAATTATAGGTGCAGTAACAAATGGGATCCATAATGAATGTAAAAATCGAGTTTTGCTATTGTTTTCTGATAAAAGAAATCGTAAAATTGTTTCTAAAGACTTTCTGTTTGCAAGCATGCAGAGATGCTCTAATCGTGGGAAAAGATTTACTAGCACTTCTACCAGTTCAAACGTACATCGAAATGCAATATTCACATTTTTAATTTTATTTGTAGTAGACACCATTTGAAAACTTTCATTTTGTTGATTTAAGTTTAAATCTGTTTTTTTTTGAAGTGTTGAAAGATTAAATCTTAACATATGAACATTAGACATGAACGTCAATAATTCTATAATATCTTTCAAATGAAGGTCAAACCAAACGATCTCGAGTTTAGTAATTTGTTTCAAAGGAAAAATACGATTAAAAATAATTGGAAGAACATATTCATTTTCTTGCAGAGGATTACAGTTGAAAGTAAGTTAAGTAACATTTGGAAAATAATTTGTCCAATTAATCATTCTATTTTGATGTTGAAATCCAAGATGATCAACTGAATGCATATGTCTTTGTTTAGTATGTGGAGCACTTCTTTTGATTGGTTCTATAGCTAGTACGAAATGTCTTCTTAAATTTAGAAATCGTTTCTAGTGTGGAACTAAATCAATTCATACCTGTATGGATTTGTTGAATAAAAAAATACATCTGCAGTTACTCCAGTTCCATGAATATGATACGCAAAAAACCATTGTCGTTCAAACCAAAATGGAGATTCAAATTGGTCAAATATATCAGGATAAACCTCTCTATCTGTTGCGTTTATAATTACATGATGCCGGATATCAAAGATTCGTAAATATGGCATATGTGATAATATAAGGAATTGCCATCGATTTACATCTAAATAGGCTTTATCTCCATGTGTCAAGATGTATAAAATTTGAACTTGATGAAAAAATATTTTTTGTAATCAATATTTCGAATTCATCAAAAATAACATTTCCCAAATTTAAAGAAACATGTGTTAAGTGATTTAATACAATTGAACAAACATTCATTTGCATGTTACATGTAGATAGACTATCAATGGATAAACGATGAAGCTGAGGAACGTATGATAGAAAAGCAAATAATTCATTAAGATTAATAATTTAGTAACTTTGATGACTAAATGTAAAATCGGACTAACTTCATTCATTGTAATAGGTAATTGTTCAGGTGGATGAGGTGCATGTATTGATAGTTTACAATATTTTAGGAAAGGTAAACGAAATACTTGTTTATAAAAGTTATTTCTGTCTGAAACATAATCCTTACAAATAAGTACTAATGAGGATAGATGAGATATGAAGAATAAATTATTAAGAAGATTATTAAGATATTTTGATTGAACTTGGTCAATAATAAATGTTTGAAGTTGAATTAATTTTGAAATTTGAGAAAACAAAGAAAGAAAGAAATCGACAATAAGTAAATTTCATACATGAAGTGATTGAATTCGATATTGATAAGGAATAATAATAATTGTATAATAATATTCAAAGTTTGATTTTGATAAAAATGCAAGATTGATTTTAATAGGAAGAGTTGAACTCATAAGAAGACTTCGAAAATATGTATTAAGATTGAAGAAAATTCTATCAATATGAAAAAAATCCAGATATTCGAGAATTTCATAAATAAATTCATTAGAAAGATCTTCAAAATGGGAT